CTATGGATGAAGGAGTTTTGATAAAGTGCTGTTCGACATCTTTCGAGGTTGAAGGGTCCCTTGCTAAAGCGGTCGGAAGAAATTTCACAACATCGCAGGAGAAAGCAAATATTTTTGCAGATATGTTCGCAGCAAACTCTACTTCAGATTCCCAAGGAAAAGTGCCGCCAGACATTCCACCCGTTGAGTGTCGAATGCCCGAAATCGTCTTCCGTCAACGCACTATCAGACGAATTTTGCTTGGTCTCAAAACGAATAAGGCTAACGGTCCTAATGGAATTCCACTTATTATCCTCAAAAAATGTGCACTAGAATTAACACCGATTCTCTGCAAGTTGTTTACCGTCTCGTACAGGTCGGGTATTTTTCCATCATGCTGGAAGACAGCTAGAGTCAATGTCAAACCAATCTCCAAAAAAGTGAACAAAAACCTGCCCAACAACTACAGGCCCATTGCCCTGTTATCAGTAATCTCCAAAGTGATGGAGAAAGCCATCAATATTGAGCTTATCAAATATCTGGAGAGCTCAGGAATCATTAATGATAGACAATACGGCTCTCGCCACCGAAGATCTACTGGAGATCTACTTGCCTACGTCACCCATTTATGGCAAGCTTCATTAGAAAAACACGGAAAATCTCTAGCTGTCGCGTTGGACATATCGAAAGCATTTGACCGTGTTTGGCACGAAGGACTCCTCCACAAACTACCATCATACGGCTTACCACCTCAGCTATGCCATCTCTTATCGAGTTTTATTTCAGGTAGATCGCTTCATGTGGTGGTGCACGGTGTATCGTCTGATACCATTGGCATCAATTGCGGCGTTCCACAAGGATCAATTTTGGCACCAACATTATTCTTTCTTCATATCAATGATCTGTTGGGAGTAACAACTTGCCCCATCCACAGCTTTGCAGATTATAGTACCCTCCATACTGCGTTCTCTTCAAGAATTTTTATTTCTTCCCAGGAAACTAAGAATTCACGGCGCAGGCAGGTCAATGCTGTCAATGAAGACCTTGCTGAAATCACAGCCTGGGTAACCAACAACCTAGTTGAATTCAACGCCACCAAAACTCAAGCCTGTATTTTCTTTAGAAAGGCGGAACTCAGTATGCCTGATATCATAATGTCTGGTACCACCATCCCCACCAAGCCCACCATATCTATGCTCGGTATTTCCATCAGCAACACTCTTTCATGGGATAATCATGTCAGATACATCGCAGAAGCTGCTTCACAAAAACTCGGATTCTTCTGCGAAAGCTACTTTACACCTCAACAGCTTCACACGATCTACAAAGCGCAGATACGGCCTCTCCAGGAATACTGTTCCCACATATGGGGTTCAGCACCAAAACATACGCTGATGCTCTTAGATTCCATCCAGAGAAGAGCCATTCGCCTGGTGGGTGACGCCACACTCACTCACTCTTTGACATCATTGGAACACCGTAGAAAAGTCAGCGACCTTTCACTTTTCTATCGATACTTTCACGGGAAATGTTCTTCGGAAATCTCTGATATCATCCCTTCACTACCAATACCAGTCAGAGGAACTAGACAAGCCCAGTCAGCACATCCTTTCGTTGTCAACCTTGGAAGATGTCGAACAGCACTTTATCAAAACTCCTTCATCCATAGAACGGCTAGGCTCTGGAATTCATTGCCTGAGGAAGTATTCCCAACAACATATAATCTCCAGAAGTTCAAAATAAATTTCAATACATAGGAACGCACTATGTTCTTTGAACATTATAGGGATTTCCTTTCGTGCGCTCCAAGCAATGAAAAAAAAAAGAAACACTAATAGCATAAGGGACAAGCGAGTTATCACCTGTGTTTATTAAGTCGACTTTGCTGATTATAACCCACCTGCGATTATTAGATATAGAACCTTGCTGCCACTAGCGAGTGCATCTGTATATTGCTATTAGACGATGTTCCTGTAGTAGGTATCTGACTTTGCTACCGCTAGTGAGTGCATCTAATAATGGGAGTAGGGAAATGTTATAATCGTAGGTAGGAAACTTTGCTACTCTTGATGGGTGATCATATAGATAGATAGTTGCTGCTGTAGTTATTCAGTTATTTTCCAGGATTGTTGTCATCAAGAAAAGTGACATTTTGACTGATATCCAATTTCACTTCGCATAACTTCCACCCTGATCCTAAATTGAATTTCGTGCGCCGAACCTGATTGATACTTGATACTGTGTGTATATATCCTCATTCAAATATCTTCCAGGAAAATTGCAGGCAAAATGGGATAAACAGAAATTTTCCGATATGGTTACGATGCTTTCGCATGAAAATCTGCTATTGATTTCGTTCTATGGTTAGCTTAAGTGGCGGATTTAACAAAAGATGGCGGTATCCAACCAGATCCCGATATACAGGAGGTAACAATGTTTGATTCTTGCTACACAGGGTGTTGCGAAATTCGACCGAGAACGCTGGACAGGTGATAGCCCTCGTGATTTCATAATCACACTGAGATAGGGACACACGGTCTTCAAGTGTTCAGTTCTCGAAATACAGGGCGTTGAAGTTATGAAATTAAAATAGTTTATTCGCAATATCTCAAGAAAAATTGAATATAATGCATTCAAATTCGGTATATGTATGATGGTTTCATCTTTCAATGATTAATTTTTTGACCAGAAAGACATTCCGAGAATTTCATCCAGAGGTGCGCTACAGAGAAGATTCTGATAACTTTTCCTCCCATATTTTCTACACCACTGATGAAATTTCAATTATTTCCAATTTCTCGAATTGATTGTTCAATTATGTTGAAAAAATGCATCACCTTCAACCGAGTTTTCATAGTAATTCTTCATCTTCCTCAGTAGTAGAGAATTGGAAAAATTTTTGTTTTTTATTTATGCGTGAAATAACTAATCTGTTCAGCTATACAGGGTGATTCACATAAGAACCGACATAGAGCAGGGGCATGTAGGGGGTCCCAAAATATGGCAATTTAACGCAACTTACCTCTATCCGAAGTTGCTTCCCTAAGGAGTTATAGGCTTTGAAAGTGAAGTTATAAATTTTGAAAAATATCAATATCTCCGTTATTCTTGAACTTAAAGCAACCAAATTTTGTACACTTTGTGGATGTATTCAGGGCGTCACTCGACAGTAACTAGAGCTCAATTGAAATTTGTAAAGGGGGTATACCGGGTGGCGCACCATTAATATTCAACAGAATTTTGTTAACCCTCGATGGATTTCGAAAATCTTTGCTTTGTTTGTGTGGGCAATTCAATTATAAAACTTTTCTTAATCTAGTAATTTTTCGAAAAACCTCATCATTTTCATCAAAAACTCGAATAACTGAAAACACGCGCTCTAGGTGTGTTATTTAAAATCATCGAAAATTCAAGAGTTGGCTATGAAAATAAACGTACAACAAGAAAGTAGGTCATTAATTGTGATCAGTAGAAATTTGCTAGCAAATTATTATTTAGATACGTAAAAAAATACGTAAAGTAAGGACAGATACTGAAACGTGAAAAACTGGGATTAACAACTAACCAAAATAAACACAAAAAACTCAAACAACAACCAGAACAAACAATTGTTTATCGATGAATTACTCAATTGAATATCTTACTTGCTTTATTGTTAAGTTTGACGTTTATTTTCATAGCCAACTTTTGAATTTTCGATGATTTTAAATAACACACCTAGAGCACGCGTTTTCAGTTATTCGAGTTTTTGATGAAAATGATGAGGTTTTTCGAGAAATTACTGGACTGAGAAAAGTTTTAGAATTGAATTGCCCACAAAACAAAGCGAAGATTTTTAAAATCCATCAAGGGTTAACAAAATTCTGTTGAATATTAATGGTGCGCCACCCGGTGTACCCCCTTTACAAATTTCAATTAAACTCTAGTTACTGTCAAGTAACGCCCTGAATACCTCCACAAAGTGTACCAAATTTAATTGCTTTGAGTTCAAGAATAACGGAGATATTGATTTTTTTAAAATTTATAACTTCACTTTCAAAGCCTATAACTCCTTAGGGAAGCAACTTGGTATAGAGGTAAGTTGCGTTAAATTGACATATTTTGAGACCCCCTACATGCCTCTGCTCTATGTCGGTTCTTATGTGAATCACCCTGTAGAATGAGATCTGAATAGTATTTAATCTACTCAACACCAGAAAAATATTTTTGCAATTTTCTACTACCTACTACATATTACTATGCAATCTTCTATTTTGGGTCGAATATCTCGAAAACTGTTCACTTCAGCTCAGTTGAAGGTGTGCATTTTCTGAACAAAATTGACCAATGAATTCGAGGAATTGGAAATAATCGAAATTTAATCAGTGGCGTAGAAGGTTTTTTTTTAATCGCTTGGAGCGCACGAAAGGGAATCCCTATAATGTTCAAAGAACATCGTGCGTTCCTAGGGAGGATAGGGACAGGAGGTAGGTATTGGATTTTTTTTGAACTTTTGGAGATTATATGTTGTTGGGAATACTTCCACAGGCGATGAATTCCAGAGCCTAGCCGTTCTATGGATGAAGGAGTCTTGATACAGTGCTGTTCGACATCTTTCGAGGTTGACAACGGAAGGATGTGCTGACTGGGCTTGTCTAGTTCGTCTGATTGGTATTGCTAGTGAAGGGATGATGGCAGAGATTTCCGAAGAACATTTCCCGTGGAAGTATCGATAGAAAAGTGAAAGGTCGCCGACCTTTCTACGGTGTTCCAATGATGTCAAAGAGTGAGTGAGTGTGGCGTCACCCACCAGGCGAATATGGCTCTTCTCTGGATGGAATCTAAAAGCATCAGCGTATGTTTTGGTGCTGAACCCCATATGTGGGAACAGTATTCTAGAACAGGCCGTATCTGCGCTTTGTAGATCATGAGAAGCTGTTGAGGTGTAAAGTAGCTTTTCGCACGGAACAAGAATCCGAGTTTTTGTGAAGCAGTATACACTAAAGGTACGTATAGGCGAATAAAAATGAAATCAGGTTGATATTTTTTATTATGTTATTTCTTCAGACATCTATTACAAAAATTGAGTACCTAGTACATATAAGTGCAAAGAAGTGAGTCTTTGGTATTATTGGCAAATCTTCAACACTTTCAGAGAAAAGCTTATGCAGTACGTACATATTCACTATCCATCCTCCACATACAAATAAAAAAATATAAAATAGTCTATAATTTACTTAACAAACTCTAGCTAAAATCCTAAAAATCTAAGTGCAAAAACATTGAGTAAATCAAACTTTGTCAAAGAGGGAATGTGTCACTATCTATTTATATATAATTTATCGCTAAAAATAATTTACAGAACGAACGAGTACTTATATAACCTAACTAAAGCTTAGCCGCCATTTTCAAGAGCAAACATATAACACAAGATGTTCTAACCCAACATTCCTTTCTACACTATACACAGTGTATTGTCTTTGCAAACAGATATCTGCGCCTCCTGCATAATCCTCAGTCTTGGTCCCAATGGAACCCCCATCTTCAGTAACCTGTCCTCAGTCATGTATGGTAATTCCACCATACCCACTCTCTCGGTCTCAAAAATTGTTGCGTATTTCTGAAAAAAAAAACGGGAAATATATGTTCGGGGAATAATCTTTCCAAATACTACTCCATGAGCACAAGTCTGTCTTGATATTTCATGGTACTATGTATGAACTGTTACAGATACTGGAAGCACCATGCAAGGGCAACAATTCATTTCTCAGACGAAATTAACCTTTCTATACTTCACGATTCTGATACTGTTTCTCAGTTAGAGAGAGGAAAATGTCATTCCCCAACGGGTATGAAACATTGTTTTCAATATACAGTGTAATTCATAAAGTTGGCATCATATGAGAAAAACTTTGAATAATAACTACGAAATAGCCACAAAATACAAACAGCTCAAAGTCATTTCCACACACTGTTCATAAACTGAACAACGATGTAATTCAATGTTCTGCGTGGTATTAGCCAGGAAAGTAATCGTTTTTCTCCCGAAATCTACCATTGTTGTTCAGTTTATTGTATTTATTCAACTGTGAATAATAATTCATTTCGAAATTTGACTTGGGCGTTGAGTATTGTCAGAAGTTACATTTTTTCAAATTAATCGCTTAAAATTGGCCCATTTGTTCGAATTTAAAAAAAGTTCACTTAGGAAAAATTTTTTTATTCCAATTTTACACATGTGTCTCGGATTAAACGTATTATTGCAACTTCCAGTTCTTGATATGTTTCAATTTCTGCTGATAATTGTAACTTCGAAAGAACTGTGCTAAACTCCGGTAAGATAGGTACGTATAGTAGTTTGATGTTATTATGATAGATGACTTTGGCATTATTTCAGTTCTCGAAAAAAACAATTTTAATACATTTCGCTGATGGACAATATTATATCAAATTTGCATAAAAAACATAAATTTGAAGAGGAGATTATTTAAATCAACAAATTTCTCTTTGCAAACTCTTTTTCAAATTCAATCTAATGAGCCAATTTTCAGCGATCAATTCAAAAGGATATAACTTTTGACTTTCATCATTTTAAGCAAAACTTAAAGCCCATGTCGAATTTCGAAATAAATATTCATTATTGGAAATGACTCCTATATGATGCCTGAATGATATGACTTTATGAATCACTGTATAATTGTATGTTTTATCGCATCAGCGAAGAACTTAGGATAAAGCAACGTTTATCCGAAGTTTCTGAATGTATCTTGAAAAAAACGTATCTTCAAGGTTACTTTGCCTCCACTTCTTCACAGTTGACGAGTCAAATACGCCAACGCTCGCTACGTCTTCGAAAAAGTTAATTTTCAACCATTTCAGAACTCACCTCATAACCCAGTTTCCTCAAAAACAGTCTCAACAATGGCGGCTCATCTCCAAAAAACTTCGTCAGCTTTTTCACCCTCGTCGGATTGGCTAGTACGGGCAGTTCCCTAGAACTTATAGGCCTGGCGGTGGACTGAGCGCGAACATTCAACATGTTCGTCTGTGTCCTCAGCGCTGCTATCTCCCCCCGTATGTTTTCCATCTCCTGTATCATGATATGCTGCGTGCGCATCTCTGAAGACAGATGAGCGACGGACCTGGCTAGCGTCACCACGTGACTCTCCAGCCTCTGGAACCTCTTGTTGATGCCTCTTATATCTCTCACCTGGAAAAATCATCACAGCATTAACATTGTTGGCGATATACAGTTCAATACGTTTCAATAGGATAGCAGAACCACTCCAACTCTCAGCATTGGCTCCAATTCTCAACTGCCATGTAAAGGAAACCGGCCACTGAAGAAGAACTCAGCCCTTCCAGAGATTTCCTTATGTGAAGTTAAGTAAGACCCCTGGTTATGGGCATCAGCTCATAAATTGTTTGGGAATGCCGAAAAAAACTGAACGGGCAGTCTGGAGTAGAAGAAAATAGTAGCGGACAGACAATCAGACAAACTCGCTAGAAAAGGAGGTCAAACACCCTTCGTGGAGCCAGAACCCTCCTGCGGGATCAGCAACAGTTCTGTATCAGGAGAAATTAGAAAAAGAAGAAGCTAAACAGAGATTATAGACATCTGGAAAAATCTTCAAAGAATCTGAGTTACTACTAAGTCCATATAATCACAAGAGATCAAAAGCATATGTGAGCCTTAGCAAAGTAAAACTCAGTATACTGACGGTCGTGACAGGGCACTGCTAAGTTTGCCTTAGAAGATGAAGATGATTGCAAGAACACACTAGAGAAATTGCTGTAGCTTCAGAGAACAACCTCATTGGTTATCACAGCAAAAGAAGGGGGCACAGAAGATCTTTGAGGTCGCAGTATAGGTATTCACCTCTGATGCAATACGATACAAATAGAAAGACATCTGAAGAGATGGCGACTTCTGTCAAGATCGAGTGACCATTTCATTCGCATTGCTGCTGCTGTACAGCTCGATAGTTTGAGTCTAATAGGAACTCAGCTCATCTACATTCTGTCCACATCGAAGCCAAGCAAAACTCGTGGAGAGAAAGCAAATTCAAGAGCTCAACATTGCTGGTAATATACAGTTTGATATGTTATCAGACCAATAGAATAGAAAGCCATTCACAAGGCCAGTTACTTCAAGGATTACCGAAATGATATTTTTTCCAGAAACTGAAGCTGATTACAAGACTCAGGCTCGCAAAATTAGCTCCTATTCCATATCATCACTTTGTTTCCGAGGATCAGCTCTTCATTTTGAGTCTTTCAGAACCCACGACCCAAAAATAGGAGCTCAGCAAACCTCTTGAAAAACGAGAATGGATCTCAGCAAAATGAGGTCACGATCGAAATAAACATTACCTTCTTCCGATCCTCGCTAGCCCGTCTCTTGTCCCTGATTGGTCGACTGCTCACTGAACTGGAGGGAAGCGAAGACATGCTTCCATAGCGACGCTTGGTGAACCTCGGATCGGAGGGTTGATATCTCCCCGGGTGTTTCTTGACGCCCAACAGCTTCAGAACCTCCGAATACATTGTCTCGAGGCCCTCGAGCTGTTTCCTGATAGTCCTGGCGTCCTGAGTGCTGAGGTCACCATCAGAGTCGCTCTGGTTGTCCAAGATAGATTCCAGGTCCATCGATCTGGTGGTGGTCGAGGTTATGTCGGTGGTATCCAGACCAAAAACTGGAAAAAAGCAAAAAAGTAAGTACCTGGCTCGGGTACATTTGAAATGTGGTTCCCTGAGTCTTACTTTGTTTTCCTCTCAGTATAGCATTGTGGTCCATCTTCTTTTGGGTTCTGTGCTTCTGTGAAGTACTGTTAGCCCATCTTGCATCCCCTACAAGATTCCTAGGGTGATTTTTCGACTTGTACACGTCATAGTCTGGTCTGCTTCCACAGGGTAAGCTATAAAAGAAAGCTGCATTAGAATTCATCGACCTAACCTAACCTAAACACAGTTGTAGAAATATAGAGTTTTTTGTACCTGCTATGTTTGTATCTGGCCGAGTTTCTTGGTGTGGTATTAGGGGAAGACTGATCTCCAGGGGAAAGAGGAGGTAGGGGAGGGGTCATTGAGGAAATGCTATCGCTGATGGTAGAATGGGCTTTTCCAGGAGTTGTTCCTTGCAGAGACAGCTCATGAAGCTTGGGTTCCAGGATATGCCTCAACTCGTTCTCGACTATGTCCACCCATTCACTATCATGACCTTCAAATAACAAAAAAATTGAACACACTTGCTTTAACCACTGCAGTGAGTTGGTGTCAATACCTACCATTTGTATGAACATCTCTGTATTTTCCTCTGGCGTTGATTTGACAAGAATCGTACTGATCACTGTTCAAATCCATTCCTCCAGGTCTTCTTCCACTACTGTAAGCTGCACTGCCTCTTCCAGAATCGATATTAGACGAAGATTGCCCACCAGTTTTGTCGTAGTCGGAGCTAGACGAACTAGGGTTTATTTTCTTTCCAGCTTTTGGATCTTCCTCTGGCTTTACTGTTCTTTGGCCCACATTGTAGACACCTTCTATCTTGCCTAGAAAACGATCACCAGCTAGTTCACCAAACCTAACTCATTGATCATGTACAAGTAAGAGCTACTAACCTATTTCTCCTTCTAGTCTCATTCTAGGTGTTCCTTGCAATCCTTCGTTGACTTTTTGTTCATCTATGGTACTTTCTGAGCTGTCTTTTTTTACATCAGAGACAGTACTGTCAGTAAGGGCATTGCTGTCCTTTGAAGGGACAGTCGATTCAAGTCTTCTATCTTGTGGAGTGTCCAGCCTGCGTTCCTGGGAGCCTTTCCTTTTCAGAAAACCTCCGTCATCGCTATCTTTTTCTGTATCTTGAACCACCTGGAAAAACTTTGTGGCATGACAAGGAATTTTGACTTTGGAATTTGGAATTTTTACCTGAGGTTCCATGATATTTCCGTATGACCCTCTCCTCACTGGAACAGCCAATTGAGCCTGAGGTCTACCATTCTGAAGCCCACTTTCAGCATCATCATCATAGGCCAACTGAGGTTGGGAAGCTGCTCTCCTTGCCTCAAAGCTTCTTTGTCTAAGGCTGTCTCTCTCCAGTTGCTGAGCACTCCGACGTTCCGAAGCCAGCTGAGATCTAGCTTGGTCAGCCTGTTGAAACAAGGACAACTTGACCAATAGAATAATTAAAATGTGTATCCTGGAACAAGTAGCTTCAACTGAAATTCAACTACTGTACCAGAGCAGACTACTAGCATTAATCTCGATGGAACCTCACCTGTAAACTGTGCTGCTGTACTCCCACATATCCTGCCTCCCTTACCCCAGCTTGGGTGAACCTCTGACCACTTCCTCGTGATGGCGTAGCAACATAACCACCCTGGTAGTAGAGCTGCTCGACCTCTTGGTGCTGATTCAACATCTCCTGAGACCTTGCCTGCACCATCTGTTGGTTCTTCAGTTGCTGCTGTTGCTGTTGGTGATGAAACTGCTGTTGCTGCTGATACTGCTGCTGTTGGACGATCAGCTGTTGCTGCACGAGGTGTTGGTGATACTGTTGCTGGGTGAGAGATTGTGGTTTCGTATAAGGTACTTGGTGCTCGCTCAAATGCTCCGCTACGTTCCCTTGCGACTTTCTCAACTCCTCCGCCACATTATTCAACCCCTCCTCGCTCTTATCATCTCCATCTTTGCTGCTCTTGAATCTGCTGGACAAAATATCCTTGATGGTGTTGTATGTCTTGGCCATCGTCTTGTTCTTCTCCTTGAGCGCGTTCCTATCGTCTCGGTCTATCTGCACGGTAACCATCGGGGAATTGGTGTTAGGTCCGGCGGTGTAGGTGGCGTAATCTTCGCCAGGTTGGAGGGGGCGCGGTGGGGCTTTGGTGGGGTCGGCGTTTTGGTGCCAGGGGGTCCTGGGAACTGCTCCTGTGGGGACGGGGGGTTGGCCGTTGTAGAATTCCGGATGGGGGTGATAGTTGGGGCGGTAAGCGGGGCCATTGGGGTCTACGGATTGCTGGATGGTCTGGATCAGACCAGAGTGGGTCTGGAAATGAGAAGAAGTATTAGGAATCCGTTGATTGTGACGAAAAAATATGATGTTACTCCAAAGACATGATACAGGGTGTTTTCGAAGGACATGCGTCTTTTTCACCAAGATGTGGAAGTCATCAAATTGAACAATTTCACCAAAAATCGTCTCTACAGGTTGATTCATGAATAATGCCACATAGCCAAATGGTAGAAAGTGGAATTCAAAATGAGTTTATGTAAGTTGTATAATAATATCTAATAATAATGATAGTAGGTAGCAATAATATGATGAATGCTTCTTTGTACAAGACATACCAAGAACTCAATGTAAAAGTGTTAAAATTCTGAACGGATTTTCATTTTTACCTGAAAAATAACTGGCAAATTGATTCCTCGCACATATTATTTATTCAGTAAGCGAGTTGTACATTGTGATAGCAAATATAGACCGATATCAAAGGTAGTTACTTATAAATAACTTCAAATCTCCTAAATATTCCATCGTCAAGATGGCTATTTTTGGTGAAATTGTTTATTTGGAAGAATTTTACTTACATCCTGTTGAAAACGCTCTGTGAACTTTTAGTTAGGTTCAAAAGGTATAATAATTGTATACTTCTTCATGCATTCATTCGACTTTTTTCGTAGAGATTCTCGCATGGATTTGGGCGATAACGGTCACCATAACTATACCGGATGTCTTCGTGATAAAGCGGATGTTCAACTGTCAAAAGCGATGAAGGTAAGTACAGGTTTTATACGTATATGATATGAACTTTTTTTATGGAATATTTGAGTTGTATTAATTCTCATTCTGTTCGTACATTCACCTGCACTGTAGGCTATTGACACCTTTCTTCCTGTATAGCGCGAATCAAATCAAATCATCAGAAAAAACTCCCATTCCACGGGCGCGATTTAATATTTTCCAAGAACAGTCTATCTTCCAAGTAAAATAGATTTTCCAACTTACATTGTCTGCATTCAAAGCGAACTCAACCATACCAAAATAGAATTATACTGAGCGCTCACCGTATCAAAAACAACAATAAAAGTGAATGTCCACATACATAATTCCCATTCATCGTACAGCCAGGTAGCCAGTGGCGTAACATTCATAAAAATAATAATCATAATTATATACAGAGTGTCCCAGTTTCTTCGCTTTCAATTATAGTATTTTCAAAAGACAAATTGTCGAATCATAGTGACGCGGTTATAAAACCATATTATTGATATTATTGATATGTTTTGTCTCATTGAAATTATATTAAATTTTATTTTATAGAAACGAGGAGAGAAAATCCGAAAGAATGAAGTAAAATGAATATACCACCTCCTCGATTAACCTACAGACAGTAGGAATATCATTAATTTTTCAGGAGAATGTTTGGTTTGTTTCTATTTTGTTGGAAATATGTTAGTTTTCTCTTTACTGAAAGTACATAGTGTTATGACGTCATAGGTTTAGGACAAATTTCCAGATAACATCTTGTGTCAAATTTTATCCAGTGTGCTCTATTTAGGACAAGATTTTTCTAAGAAGTTATTCAGAAGTTGTCGATTCTATAGTCATGAATTTTGGTACTGCATGTACCTATGTGAATAGAAGAGATAACAAAATATTAGTTCATTGCAATTTTTCGGGAAACCTAATTCATGATAAAATGAAATTTCCTTTGAAATTCATTGGCATTTTTTGATCAATAGAGTGAGTAAAGCAGTAACAATTTCAGAATTTCATTCAAGGGCATATCAAACAAGGTTTTAATGCTGGAATATGAGGATCTATCCCCATTCACTTCAACCCAAAGGTTGATAGTTTCTGAAATGCAGGATTTGATAGTTGTCATTTTTCAAAACTTTTTTGCAAATATATTAATCCAACTTATAACATATTTCGCACGAGATTTATCACTTGAGAATTTCCTTTTTTGGAAAATGAAACGAGACCGGATGAAGTAGGTCTGAACAGAAATCTTGTATAGTGGTGGGTATACCTTTTTTGGACAAATAATATCGAAGCACAAAAATAAAGATACATATTTTTTACCTTTGATCGTTATGGAAACTATTGATCAGATAGCAAAACACATCATCATCTGTATTTCTGAATATTCAAGTGTTTTTTACTTGAGAGTTAAAAGAATGGCGAAGACCTGGGCAATGAAATCTATCCAAACCTTCTAACTTTTAATCCATGAATCCTCTTTTACATTCAATGTTCAATCAATAGATATTATAGGTTGAAGTTAAAGAAAATCGAAAATATAGCGTTTTAGAATCAGCATATTCCATTCGATATCACAAGTAGCCAGATATGAAGGTGAAGCAGTGACGTATTAGTCCTGAACTGTAGTGTGATTGGTCAGTTCAAGGACAATAAGTGTGTTAGGACTAATACGTCACACCAATGAATTGACTCCATCTCAAATGGCGCAGGAAGTATGTGTTTTAAAATGAAAATTTCAATTCATTATTTTCATAGTCCTAGTATGGATGAAGAAAATAAAAATTATATTTACTAATTATTTTTTGCTATAGAAATCACGATGATGTTTTAAAAAATCAGTGGTCTCTCTCATTCTCTGATGGGTACGGCACTGGCTGTACCAAGAACTAAGGCTTTTTCCGGCGATTACCATCGTTCTGATGAACTCCAATCGGACAAGTCGAAGAGGTGGAGGGAAGCACGAAGAAAAACCGAGCAAGGTGATTCGACTCTACCTTACCGTGTCGCAATATACATATTGAAAAAAAGCTCATTAAAATGTACGGACTAAGTGCGAGAGGATCCCCTTGCATGGTAATAGGCACATTTTGGACAGTCGAAGGCGCTGAACTACGAAAGCGTAGAACGGACATGAGATATTTTTTTTCTTAATTTCGTGTTATAACTCGAAATTAGCTCAATTTCGAGTAATAACTCGAAATTAGTGCTAATTTCGTGTTACAACTTGAAATCAGCTTAATTTGGAGTTATAACTCGAAATTAGTGCTAATTTCGTGTTACAACTCGAAATTAGCTTAATTTCGAGTTATAACTCAAAATTAGTACTGATTTCGTGTTACAACTCGAAATTAGCTAGATTCCGAGTTATAACTCGAAATTAGTGCTAATTTCGTGTTACAAATCGAAATCAGCTCAATTTGACAATATCTCTGACAACATTTGCGATAACAATGGTTGCCATGGTTGACTTATATTCATGGCATTCTTGTGAAAATCATCCGTAGTCTCAGTTTTTGTCATAAGAGAAACATTTACTATTAACCGGTATAACTCAGAAATGAGTGAAATAAATAAGTTCGAGTGAATAACAAAAAAGTTTATAAACAACATCCCTGCAAATACAGTAACATCACAGAGATATCGCAGCGATGTAACAATTGTGACCTACGATATCGCATTCTTTGTCGCATAGACGTTGCTGCGATGTCAGAGGGATGTTATTTTGTCACTCTTAAGTTTCATCCATGCGACGTCGCTGCGATGAGGTCTCTGCGATATAACAGCGATATGTTTTTTGCAATGTAGTTGCGTTATGTTATTTGTGATAGGAAAGCGATGTGTTGAAAACAAGTTTCTTAAAATACCCATATGGCTTAATTTCGAGTTGTAACACGAAATTAGCACTAATTTCGAGTTATTTCGAGTTGTAACACGAAATTAAGCGAATTTCGATTTGCAACACGAAATTTAAATTAAGGAAAAAAAAATCTCATGTCCGTTCTACGCTTTCGTACTGAACAGACATAGCAGGAAAATAGTTATTTATTATACAAGGGAAAAAAGTAGTAGATTTTAGCTCCAGGTTGTGTTGTCTCCCGACGCGTAGCGGAGGGAGACAAAAAACCGTGTGCTAAAATCTAATATTTTTCCCGTGTATAATACACTATTTTTTTCTGTGACAGAAGGAAGGACGAATCAATATTGGGAAGATATTACATTATTTCGAAATCTGAAAATTATCGACGTGAAATTTCAAGTTTTTAACAGTAAGGACACCTGCGTTTTATAGACATCTTCATCATTCTTTTGTAGTGATCAAATATCTGATGTCACTTCTGTCAGTTCAATTCTGTGATTTGATTTTAAAAAATTGCGAATTCAGTAGTTGTTTAGTAATATACGAAACCGCGAAGTCGAATGGAAGATAAAAGGACTTGCAGTTCTTTCTCGGAGACGGTATTATTGACTTATTTTTCGGAACTATAGCACAACAAAAGCCATTAACAGAGTATATATATGTGATATATATCCGGGAAAGAAGTACTCACTTTTTTCCCACGGGAAAAAAGTAATTTATGAAAAGTGACATTTTATAACCTGCCAACAGAGATGAAATGCCAAACTTTTTTCCCGTCACAGAAAAAACAATTTTTTTAGTTGTTTGAATATAATTGCAAGATTTTTCTGGCATTTTAGTTGATTGCAAGATTTATCTTGATTTTGAGGGTTAATTGACAGATTTATCTTGCATTTATGCTGATGGCAAGATTTATATTACAATTACTCAAATACCCTTCAATTTCATATTTGTTAGGAATTTTTCTGTCGATTTTTAGGTGCTAAAATCATCAATAATGCCACGGTAATTTTCACACGGCTAAAAATTTACCGCCAGTAATCACTGACGCCACGATTTCGTAAGTAGGGGGGTGTTTAAATTGAAATATTGGATAATCAATAATTCATAAATTCTCAATTGAGTATCAGTGATATTCCTAATCGGCAATAAAAATTCAATTGTCTCAAAATGTTCCCTTATGATTTGTGGCTTATTGATTATAATACATTTGTGTGGATAATAATTATACAAACTCTACTTTAGATTCCCAAGGAAAAGTGCCGCCAGACATTCCACCCGTTGAGAGTCGAATGCCCGAAATCGTCTTCCGTCAACGCACTATCAGACGAATTTTGCTTGGTCTCGAAACGAATAAGGCTAACGGTCCTGATGGAATCCCACCCATTATCCTCAAAAATGTGCACCAGAATTAACACCGATT